GAAAGCGACGAATTTGGGACACAGTGCGATCTTCAGAAAATTGAAGACAGTCGAACCCATGGGATCAAAAGCTGATCGAATCAAAACTCTAAGCATCTTGGTACCTTTTAGAACATATGTTCTAAATGAGAGGCGAGATGGTGGAGAGACTCCATCAGCCATCACAGGGGACTCCATTTGGTACACGGAGGGCATAAAAACAGCGTCGGGCACAGGCTCTGGTATAGTCGAAAAAGGAAGAACTGGGGAAATGATCACCTTAAACCTGGGTACAACTACGACAGCTTTCCAAGCAAACATCCTAGCAATAACAAATTGCGCCCGGAAAATGAAGGAAACAGCCTACACACGTAAGCAAATTACCATCGTAACCGGAGATGAAGCCACAATAAAAGCATTAGAATCGTACACAATCAGGTCACAATGTGTGCTAGATTGTGTAAAAGAACTTACAACCCTGGCCGGGAGCTCAAACAGAGGAAAACTCACTTGGGCAACTGGTACGAACAGGAGCAAAGAAAACGAGATTGCTGCGGAACTTGCTAAGGCAGGGACCGAGAAACCACTAACCAACCAAGAACCTGCCTGCGGTATATCTCATGCCCAAGTTAGGGGGGCAGTTGGGCAGTGGATCTTGGAACAACACAGAAAGTACTGGGAGGAGACACCGCGACTCCATACCGCAAAGCAGTTGGTCTCGTCGAACTGCTAGGTCTCAGCTGGCAAAAAATAAGGAGGATAGTGGCCTTTTTAACAGGACACGCCCCCTGCAAAAAACACCTCTTCAGGATGGGACTGAGCGATCAACCGACCTGCAGGGGTTGCGAATTAGAGGACGAAACTACTCTGCATGTTATGTGTCACTGCACGTCATATGCAACAGGTAGACGAAGACTCCTGGGAGGGGATGAATTTCCACCAGACCAGATCATGCGAACTCCCCTCAAGACTCTTCTGGAATTCATTGAATATACAGGGATAATGAGGGAGTAAAAGTACGAGGGCACAATAGGACAGAAATGACCGCGGTGCGAGGCCAAACACCACCTCGGCGGTGAGGAAAGGGTTTTAGTGGGTAGACAGCTTAGCTGGAATCCCACACATACCAGAGCGACAGACCACCCGCTCTGGGAGTGCATAAAAGAGCATTTCCCAAACCTCACCGAAAAAAAAAAGGCAATTCTTTATCTAAAGAAAACTTTCACCAATTCAATCAACTATTGGATCAGATAACTAAAAATTTGGGTTCTATTAAAGGCATAAAACTGCAATCAGATGTTTTATACGACTCTTTAATTATTCACATTTTAACAACGAAATTAGATAAATCCACGTTACGCGAATGGAAAGAATTTCACTATGAAAACGAGCTTCCGACACTCGATAAATTTGTCAATTTTTTGAAAGATAAGTCTGATTTGCTGCAGTCATTAGAGCAAACCTTTCCGTTTAAAACAATTAACCCGTCAAATCATGACAACAATAAGTCCTACAGAGATCAAGGAACAGATGTTCCTAGATATCAAGTGCATTTATCTACAGAAAACAACTATTCAGTCAAATGCAATATCTGTCAAAAAGGTCATACTACTTACAAATGTCCAGAGTTCCTAGCATTACCTATTTCTGATCGATTAATAAACATAAGTTGCTGTAATCTTTGTGAAAATTGCTTACGCGTAGGTCATCAAGCAGTAAACTGTAAGTGAGGATCCTGTAAATTATGCAGAAATCAAAATAAAATTCTTAAACATAACACGCTATTACATTTCAAAGACTTCTCGGTGGAAGTCCCATCCTCGATTAATATGATAGTAGGGCCTGAGACCAGTGAACAAACTCAAGGTATATTGTAATTTGCATTCATTTAGAGCCTTACTCGATTGTGGAGCGCAATCCAATTTAATAGCCGAAAATTTATTTAATAAACTAAATTTAACCCTGGTTGCGGTAAAAATTTCGATTACTGGTGTAAATAAAGTTACATCAACTATTAACAACAAATGTATGGTGTCAATATTTTCTAATTACTCCGATTTTGAATGTCTTGCCTTGTAACACCGACCATAACAGATAATATCCCTGCAAGTTTCAACACTTTCAATCAAATTCAGGTTCCATTACACATTCAATTAGCCGATCCTGAATATAAAGTTCCTAAAGAAGTAGATCTGTTAACCGGAGCAGGCATGTTTTGCGATTTGCTTCAAAATGATAAAATCAATTTAAGTTCACGAATTAATCTTCAAAGCACAAGATTCGGTTATATTCTCACGGGCAGTGTTCCAATCGATTACATTACAAGAGTATGTAATTTTTCTAGAATTTATTGACCATTCATGATCAAAATCTATTCTCTAAGGACACGTTCCAATACGATCAAGGTCAATTTCTGGTAAAATTTTCCCGATTTTTAAAGTTATCTAGTTCTGATTGGCTTATTAACAAGCAATCTATTCCTTTTACCCCCGGTTGCACCGTTTTCGCTTTAAACACTGATTATATTTTAACCGTTGTTTAAAAAAAAATGCATTGCACCGTCGCAAACTAATCGTCTGTTAGTTAATCAGAGAATCACTAT